CCAGTCCAGCCACGTCCAGATTGCATCGCGCAATCATCACGACCTTCTCCTCCTAGTGATGTGGAATGACATCTCCAAACAACTCCCTCTGCCTTCACCCCTCCTTCCTCCTTTCCCTCCCAGCAAATTGAAGGGTAATTTTACAAGTGAGGATGGAGCACTCCTGAAACAACAGAACTGGGGAGTGGGAGACCTGGTTTCAATTCTCTGCTCTGCATTGAGTTGCTGGCCAAGTCACTTTGCCACTCTACACCTTGGCTTTTCTTTTACTTGCATGCCGAGATCTGCCAATGAAAAGCCACAGGAGTTAGAACAGTATTGTTATTATTCATGCAAGAAGATGAGATGCAAGGAGTGGTAAGGGAGACCTTACAGCAGGCTAACTAAAAATAGAGGGCTGGCTTGAGCCTTTAGATTCAACCTGGAGTAAGGGGCAGCACATAACTGAGCTGCTCCAGGAAGATCCCGTAAGCATTGTGCCTCAGTGATCCCCTATGGGACACATTTCTCCTGGAGCTCCTCTTTATAACTATGCAGTATCAGTTAATTACTAGATGCAGCATACATGCTCCCCCACCACATGCAGCCAATTGTGCTGACAGGCACATGGGGGCAAAGCCCTGGCTCCACCAACTTCCTCCCCCTTTCTGATCGGACACACAGCCCTTGCTCTTTCCACGATGTGGGTTCATCCTGCACAGCTGTGCAGGGGGATGCAATCTGTCTCCCCGGCATGGCCATGTGGGATCCAGTCAGACTCTAGTTCCAAACCTTCAGGTGTTCTACAATCCCACTCTTCATCAAGCCAGGAGTTATTTTGTACTTAGTGTAATGATAAAATATGACCTAGAACTTCTTATAGTCAAGAAGATACAGTTTTAAAAATAACAGGATTCAAAAAAGAACTAGATAAATTCATGGAGGGTAGGTCCATCAATGGCTATTAGCTAAGATGGTCAGGGATGGTGTCCCTAGCCTCTGTTTGCCAGAAGCTGGGAATGGGCGACAGGGGATGAATCACTTGATGATTACCTGTTCTGTTCATTCCCTCTGGGGCACCTGGCATTGGCCACTGTCGGAAGACAGAATACTGGGCTAGATGGACCTTTGGTCTGACCCAGTATAGCCGTTCTTACGTTCTTATGTTGATCTTACACAATTGCTGTTTTGAGAACATGAGCGCCTGCTTATGAACAAGAACTGTACAGCAGGACACCCTAACATGAAACCAGTACGAGCTCGCTCCAGGCAAAGTGTAGGGCAGTGCTTGGATTGAGTCATTTGCCAGTAGGGAATAAAATCCTTGTATTGGAGCCCAAGGTATCCTGCCACTTGGTGCAATCAGATTCAACGTACAGGCCAGAAATTTGTTCTTCAGAAATAGAGTGATCCAGTTCAATATCTCATACTGGGGACCAACTGCATATCCCACACTCGGGGATCTAGCAGGTGTCCTCAATCTCAGACTGTTGTTATCCTACATTCTTTAGGAACCAGGGATAAAAGTTAGCCTGGCTAAGGGATGGTTTAGCAGCATCCATGAAGAGGAATGTGTTCCACCAGAGGCAGGGAAATCCCTCTCTTCTTCTCCAGTGAGGAGTAGGGAATTGTCTTTACTTACAGAGGACATTGCCAGAGGCAGAAACCAATGATCCCAGACTAACTTACCCAGAAAAATGTCCAAGAGGCTGCAAATTTATTGAATTAAACTTAGCAATATAACACCAAAGGGCAGCAACTGGAATTCCTTGGGCCATTGCTCTGTGACCATGCTCTGATGCATCAGACTTGAAGTTGCTTTTGCCAGAAGGGCATGAAGGCCACAGGCCCTTACCAGCTTTCCAATGTGGCCAAAAGACTGAGAGTGCAAAAAGTTAACCTGGAGGTCAAATGAATCATTGACTGAGGTTCCCTTTGGATAAGGAAGGTGATGATTTCCCAGTAGGGACATTCTAAGACAGGTTAAGGTCACAAAGGAAATGGCTGGCAGCACCACCACAACTAATTGTTGGTGCATTTTTCCTTTTACAATGCAATACATGGCAAAAGCAAATTTAAAATTATGGGTGTAGAGAAGTGGTGAGTCCAGAAGATAGGGCACAGAACTAAATGTCAGGTGACCTGTGTTCTCTTCCTGGCAAGGCTACTGACTTAATGCACTGCTCTCTATGCCTCAATTTCTCCATCTGTAAAATAGGTCTAATAATACAATACTTACCCTCCTTTGAAATCTATGGATGAGAAGTGACACATAAGTGCAAAGCATACTTATTTATTATCACGTAGCCTTTATGAGATATCCTACAACCATCACAAAACTGCCTAGCACTTGCTTGGCACTATGCAAATATTAAACCCCTCCCAGATATATTCAGCAGCTCTTCAATCATAGTCCAATGACACTTCTGCAGCTCCCTACCCAGACCCTTCCCTCCTGCATTGCTGGAGTTTGCATCTCGCCTACCGTCCACCCTTTCTCCAGCAACATGGAGCTAACCCTCCCCTTACAGCAAGCCTGGGCCCTGTGCTGACCACTGCACTCTGTGCATGTGCCCAGCTCACCTGTTTTTCCTCATTCTCATGCTTGGGTTCAGGGACAATGGGAAGGCCATTAGCAGGATGCTGAAAATTGCCAGGCCTAGCCATAGGGATGACTTCAAGCCAAAGCTGGTTGCTCACTTTCCTTCCAAGGCTATCCCTGCTCCTCAGAAAGCACTCATTAAATTGCAGCTAAGCAGTACTGCTGTTACCGGCTATGACCAGCTTCTTCTTGGCCTCCAGCTCATTCTTCCTAACCAGCAGTATGTCAGGAATAGCGGGCTCTGCAGGAGAAAATGTCCTTTCTGTATTTTTCCCTTTAAAACTATGGACAATTAGGAATCTTGCAATTCAGCTGCTGCTGCAGAAACTCACGAACATCCTCCATTGTTGGGGGTTATATGTGAATTTGCTCAGCATGTAGCTGAGCACCCCACAGGCTGTGGATGGAAAGAGGGTCCCTGTGAAGAGGTATGGCTATGAAAGGGGAAGGGATGTCTCTTCTGGTGCACAGCCAACACCCCTACTGTAGCCTATTGCGTAGTGGGCTGAGACGATGCAAACATCTGAGGCTGACCTAGCCCACTCCCGTGCCTTTCATGTCCTTCCACCTTGCCCACTTGAGAAGCAGTCCAATGCAGTCCCCACACACTCTGATATCTGGGCCACTGCTCTAGACAGCAGCTGAGTATGTCCACCAGTATTGCCAGATCCCTCTGGCCAGTACTGAGTAATCCTTCAGTAAAGGCTGGTCAAAGCAAGGTCTAAGGTTAGCCAAAGGCTCTGTGTGCCACAAGTACTGGTCTCCCTTCCCCTCATTGTGGTGAGAGGTGTAGCAACAGGAAGGGCCTTAGCTTGTATGGTAAGAAAACTCACCTCCCTGGGGGCAGGGCTGCCTCACCCTTGGGGCAGCCATAGTGGTGGTGTGATGGCCACCATCTTGGCTGACACACCAAGGATTGAACCAGGGGCCTCCAGAACTAAAAGCATAAACCATGACAGCTTGAGTTTACAAGCCAAGCCGCACCAACTGGGAACTCTAACAGACCCTATCCTGTTGAGAGGGCACTGAGGGCAACGTTTCACACACTCACCAGTGGGCTACAGTAGCTGAGGCATAGGTCACAGGAGGCTGCTGCCCAGCTGCAGATAGAGGAGCAGCCACAAGAGGGGGACTCAGAGGACTGGAGGCACTAGTACATACGCCGAAGAAAACTGACTTGGTTCCAAAGCTATATTGTGGTGCGGCCAAACGCTGACACAGACTGAGTCAGAGAAGGATGAAGGCCTTCTAGGGGGAGAGTGGCAGGAGAAGTGACCTTACTATCTAATGTAATGGGGCTGAGGAGGGGCCGCATGTTACGTAACAGCGCTGGAAGAAGGGGCTGGGCCGCACAGGATAAGGGCTAGCAGGATGGAGGCTGTGAGAGGAGGCCTACACAGCGTAGAGTAGCCTCAGCTGTATGTGGGCAGAAGTTAGAGGAGGGGCTGCTTTCCCCTCTCTGGTTATTTCTCTCTCTAGATACAATGCACCCATCCCTGCGAAGCCCTACAAAATGATAGAAAGCCACCCAAGTGATCGACTGCAGGACCTCAGCTTTGGTGGTGCCACTTTGGTAAGCGACCGAGACACATGCTTCGGACTGACCAGTGGAAACCCTCTGAACAACAAGCCATAGGTTGTTTTTGCAGCTGTTGTGACACTGCCTGCTTGTGCCAGCAATCCCAGGGTCAGCACCGTGTTTCCCGTTCACCGTGGTTACCGAGGCACCATCACAACAAAAGGAATATCCCCAGAACTGGGAAATCTCTGCTGCTGGAATAAAGGGCACCTCCCTCCCCATATACCCCACCCCATCTGCTTTCCTGGTTGCTGCATCAAGGGGGGAGGGTTCTTACACCACATCCCTTGTCCTATACGGATCTTGGTAATAAACAGGGATCAAACAAACCAATAATAAATAAATAAGCATGAATAACTCATAATGGAACCCAGGCAGCAAACCTAATGCACAAATAAACCAAATTCACCAGCAACTGCTGCAGAAAGCAAGAGTCGGGGCCATTTACAGACATACAATAAGGCAGTAGAGGCTCTGCGTCCCCTGTGTTCCCAGGAGCAGCCGGCTTCTTTCAGACACAGCCTGGCGGTGACACATGGCTGCTGGGTTAGCCCGAGCGAGACGCTGGCAAAGGCAGATTGTGTGTGTGTGTGTAGAGTGCGGCCCCTTTAAGAGGCGACGCTGCCCTACCTTTCCCTTTGTACCTGCTTTTTGAAAGCGCTTTGCAGCCCTCGCATTGGCTGGGGGAGCCACCACTTCTCCCCAGTAACTTGACCCGAGGCGCAAAGCGAATGCAACCTGAAAAGTCTGGAGCATGGCAAGGTCCCTGCCCCCAGCCTCTGACACCCAATCAGGCTGCGGGGGGAGGTCCCTGCCTCTCTAATCCTCCTCTCCCGGAGCAAAAAACTGTCTGTATTCAGCAGCAGCCGGGTAAGAAGGTGGGGGAAGCCTCTTGTTTAGTGGATCTGTGCTGTGCTTTCTCTCTTGAAATATTGGAGGGGGCCCCCACCTCCGCTCTCCTCCCCAGAAGTAGGTGGGACCAGTTCAAGCCCTGTAGCTTAGCTCCTGCTTTCTGATGATTGTGCCATTAGAGGAATGCTCCTTCGCTCACCACCTCTTGTCATGAATTTTTTTACGTGCAATTTACAAAGGCATTGACATCATCCGGACAGCAGCCTCGGAATTAACGCAAAACAAACAACCGGAGGGACAGGTTTCTATTTCACATGTTATTTTAAAAACCAGCTACCTAGCTCAGCAGCTGTGATGTGGACAGGGATCGGATCGGGAAAGCTGGGTCTGCACTGGAGGAATTAATGGTGCCCTTATTATTTTATTTGTACTGTTTATTGGAAATCGGTGGGTTTGGGATTTTTGTAGAGGAACAAGTGAAATGAGCAAATCCAAGAAGACTGACCGTTGCTGATTAGCCTCCACTTAGTGTTGTGTTCTCCTAGGATAAGTCGATTGATTAACTTTGGAGACTTAATTCAAAGAATTCTAAAGCTTTGAATCGGATCTCCCCTTTCTTTGGTTTTTGATATGGGGGACAAATCTTTCAAGGTGAATTTGCTGTTTTTTTCTTTGCCCCATCCTCTCTGAAGAACTATAATATTCTCCCTGCCCAACATGTTACAGTAAATTTTAGTTCCAGAAAACACTGTTTATTATTATTTAAAAAGAAACAATATCTAGACTCAAATATGGCAAAAAATTCTCTGGAAGGGTCTAAGGAAGACCTGAACAAAATTTCAGAAGAGGAGATGATGAGATGGAGCAAGGAAGAGCTGGTGAAAAGATTGAGGAAAGTAGAAAATGAAAAAATGAACTTAATGGTGGAACATGGCAACTTAATGAAGGATGTAAACAGGAGGCTGCAGGTTCATCTGCATGAGATCAGGGGGCTGAAGGAGGTGAATCAGAAATTACAGGACGATAATCAGGAACTGAGAGAGCTCTGCTGCTTCTTGGATGATGACCGGCAGAAAGGCAAAAAACTGTCCAGGGAATGGCAGAGGTTTGGGAGGCACACGGCCAGTGTGATGTGGAAAGAAGTTGGGATGTATCAACAGAAGCTGAAGGAGCTAGAGGCAAAGCAGGAGTCCCTCATGAGGGAGAACTTGGAGCTGAAGGAGATAGTCCTCATGCTAGATGAAGAGAGAAATGGAGCTGGCTCTAGGAGCTCTATAGACAGCCAGGCCAGTTTGACCAATTTGAATGGGAGCTCTGGCACCAGGGATGTGGGGGATGGGAGTAGCACCTCCAGCACTGGGAGCGCAGGGAGCCCAGATCATCATCACCATCACCTTCACCATCACAAACCTGTCGAGAATAAGGCTGGAGCAATAAGGAGATCTATGGATGACTTGTCTGCACCCCTTCACCACAGAAGTATCCCCAATGGTCTCAATGGTAAGTCTGTTCCCCCACTTCCTCCCTCTCTCTAATTCTGTTTGAGGATGTGCTGTCTAGTGTTTACACAACTGGGGTGAGGTGACATGGGTTCTGTGCTTAGCTCTGCCACAGATTTCCTGTTTGAACTTGGGCAAGTCGCTTTAACCACTCTGCCTCCACTTCGCCACCTGTGTAATGGAGATGCCTGTCTTGAGGCGTTGTGAGGGTTAGTGCATTGACCTTTGGACATTGCATCCATCCGGAAGAGTCCCTGGGAATGCATGTTATCATTTATTATAAGGAGTAGTAATTGTATGATAATAAATACAGTAGGTGATCTTCTGGGAAATGTGAAATGCACCCTGTGCATTTCTCTGTGGTTTTATTAAACCTGTTAATCTGATTAACTAGTTCATAGTGGAGCTGTTCTGATGTAGTTACACTATTGTTAAATGCTCATCATATGCATTATTAATGGCGAGGGGGACTGTGGGATGGTCTTTTATTTTTGTTTTAAGTCCTGGCAGGCAAATTGACTATGTGTTTTCTGAATTAAATAAACATTGATTTTTCCTGTTAGTGTTTTGTTTTATCTTAGCTGCTTGCCGGATAGTTTGATGAGCTTGATAAAAGCATAGTTGGGATGTTGGAATTATTACAGTCCTCATCTGCCAGATAATGGATAAAAGTATCACCTGTTAGCTCCATGGGGCTTTCACTGGCAGACTGTCTGAAATTGAGCAATGCCTAGTAGCTAAAGACTATGTTCAATGTTTAGGAATTAGCTTAACTCTTCCCCCTTCCCCCCACCCCACCCTTCCTCTTGTGAAATAATCAGAGTTCTATAACTGAAACTGTACTTATACTTGATACAACGGTGTGGTCACAATTAGAAAAATCCCAATATGGAATGATGACAGGCCTCATCCTGCTCTTCTGAGGCAGGCAAATTCCCAGTAAAGTCTATATTGAGCTGGCTGTAAAATAGTAATAATACTAATATTGATAATAATATTATTACTAGCATATCCCCGGAATGTCTTTAAAATCCAGATTTGTGGGGAAAGAAGTGTGGGATGCAAGAGGATTTCAAATTTGACAGGAAGAACTTCTAAAGGGTGCAATTCAGATGAGAAGAATCAATAGGAAGCAAACTGGGCTCATACACAACGGCTGGAGTTTCAGCTTCTTCAAACCACTTTCCACCAGAATATCCAAATCCGATTGGAATATTCTGTGGTAAATGGGGTATAAACTACAGCATCCTCCTTCTCCAAGCTTAGAAACGGCAGCCTCAGCATCAACATCTTGCAACAGCAAGGGCTGAGTGGAATGTCAGAAGGGAGGAGTGGGGGGAGTTGGTTCTGACTGATGTTGTCAACTTGTCATGTTCCAAATGTGAGAATGTTACACTTACAAAGGGGTAGATGTAGATCATCCCCTCCCACGGGAGAACCACAGGATGGGGGCAGATAGAGTGACTTGGCAGAGTTGCCAAGTAACTGTCCCTTAAGACTGAAGGGGTTTTAGGAGTGGCGGAGGGAGCAGAGGGCATGGCAAGGTCCTGGTGTTCTATGGGTAAGCCTCAGGGCCCCAGAGAATGTGAGTGGGACTTGAGGTCACTCTGTGCTTATCAACCGAATCCTGAAGAGTGTTATCCTTCACTAACTTGCCATGCTCCGAGTTCCCTTGCAATAGCTGCCTTTCCCCTACAATAGTTGAACACATTACATCCATTTAACTCAGGGCAGGGAATGCTGGTTTAGAGGCTGGTACTGTCCTCAGATGTTGCAGGACATACTCAGCATCTTAAAAGTAATTTGCTTCTCCCGCTACTCTACCATCTCATGAATTTGAAGCAGAATTTTAAAATGTCTTCAAAGCAGAATTGTAGATCTTATTTTATAAAGCGTTGCTGTTTGCATTTCAGATGCTTTGCCTGATGTGAATTGTGCAAAAAAAACCCCAAAACATTTTAATTCTAAATTCTTTCTTTGTGGGAGGAGGGTCACAAAGTCTTTTTGATACACTCGGTCAAGTTCCTCCTAGGTGTCACTCCACTAACTTCAACAGAGTGACACCAGGGCTGCAGATTGAAAACCACTGTTCTATGGTAACAACTACCTTTTGCAGACCCCTTAGACATTGTCAGCGGCCGCCCAGGGGTCTGCGGACCACAGGTTGAAAACCACTGTGCTAGATTCTCCACTTGCCAGGGTCATTGACACAAGTTATGGCAGCTTGTGTGATAACTTGCTTAGTTTCTCACTGCGCTGTGCAACCACTCTCCCTGAACTACATATGCTGCCTCATCCCCTCCTTTTGATGCTGGTAACTGGGGAAATCATGTAGCCCCTGCACATTCCATGCAGTCCAAAGAACTGTAAAGGAGTGAGTGCCTTGTGGTGTAGAAGCAAGGAGACACAGCATAGATACCCTTTACTTCCAGAGGTTCTCTCGGGATATTTTGTATTGGGCAGGGTGAGGAAAGCCTGGGTTCAGCGGATACACACCCCATGGGAGAGAGCCCAATGGTTACATGTGGAACTTTGCCCTGATGGGATAAATTCAAGAAAACTTTGTGTTGAAACTCAGTTTCTGTTTCTCTGAGTGGAAATAACCCACACAGAGGAGAAGGGACTATTAGGTTTGGTAGGATCTCATGTGTGTAGGGTGAGGGGCGGCCTGGGTTGGGTTTTTGTGTAGGAAGGAGCAATGTGGATTTAGGGAAAACTTTTCAGAAGTGGTGACAGGTTTAGGTTCCTCTGTTTAATGGATGCCCAACTTGAAACACTTAGGACGGTCTCTTTCGGAAATGTTGACAATGACTTTTTACCAGGAACGTGTATAGTTTCGTGTCTGCTGGTGGGCAGATATAATGTACACTCTGTATTAATCCACGACGTACGGATGCCAATAAACCTGATCTGGTGAGTTAGGTAGGGAAGCTGTAAAATGACTTGCATAGTTATCATTCTCCAATGGCATCGGTATTCAGCAAAGGCCCTGTGCCTTTGGAAAAGGTTGTGAATGCATATGCAAATACAGTCTCTTATCTGGCAACCTTTGATTGGCAGCAAGAAGTCTGGCACTGAAGCACTCTCAGTACTGTGTGCTGCAATTCTGGTAAGACTGCTGCAATGTGGAAGAGCGAGACAGGTGAACATAAAGAATGCAGAAAGTCGAGTCTGTGATTGAGCTGAGACTGAAACACTCTGCATCATGGATTCTGTCCATTTGTTCCGCTTGGTGATTCTTGTGCCGTAAGCACGAGAAGGTGGAATTAAAATTTCTTTACATTTTTGGATTGATTTTTCTCCCTTGGATAAAAATAAAGGGGATAATTTGAGGGTTGATAGAGAGACATAAAAGGAGGAGAGTGGAGTTCACTTTCTTCCTCAGTGTCTTGTTGCAGAGAAGCACTGATGCTAGGTTTTAATTTTTTGTGGCACTAGGCAAACTAAACAATGCCCAGGCTGCCCATCCCCCAGCTACTCAGACAGAAAACAGTCCCTACGTGGTTTCTTAGCTCTAAGAGCCTAAGATAGGACGTGGAGTAAGAGTACTCAGGTTTTGTATGGGGATCATGCTTTCCTATGTATTAAGCAGAATGATTTCAGTTGGATGGTGGTTTTGCGAAAGAGTCAAGCACTTGGAGGCCATTTGACTCGTCTCTCACACGACAAATTAGATTTGAAGGAGGTCTGTACAAGAGAACAGGGTTTAAACCACAGCCTTGCCTTCCCTTTCTCCTACAAGCATATAGAAGCACAAGAACCTAATCTAGCGTCCACTGTCCATCCTCCTGTTGACTTCAATGGACTGAGGATCAGACCCAAGGTGAGAAGATGTACATGAAATGGTAGATTCTACAGGTAAATTCAGGCTAATTTTAGTAGCCATGAGAGAGAACTTTGCCCCACTTTCCCTTTTCTTACCTTTTCTTGTCTTTCCTTTAAAGTGTAGCAGTTCTGTGGTGCAAGGGGATCTTAGTAGGCCTTTTATCAGAGAAGTATCCAGAGCTCAGTGACTAACTACAGACAACAGCAGTAATAATGGTAATAAAGATAAGTGATGACCCCAAATTTACTAGAAGAGTGTATAAAATCTACCATGTCTCTGGATATTCTGTAAAAAGCCAGGTAGAAATCTGTCTGGCCTTACTGTAAATGATATTTCATATTGCTGCTTAACTGTAAGGTATGTGGGAAATTAAACTCTCAGGGACTGATCCAAAGACTGCTGACGTCAAAGGGAGTATTTCTATTGACTTTAGCAGACTCTAGATCCGACCCTTATTGCTGTTATCCAATAACAGTTGAAAGCATAAGACAGTTGGCTTCCATAGGATTTGTGTACACATCTGGGACTCTGCACAGCTGACACTGGTGCCAGTGTAGAACAATTCTGCCTTGTCTGTGTGTGGGACTTTTCCCACCACCAGCCACTGGTGATTGGTCACCAGTGTACTGCAATGGTGTAAACCACTAGTAAAGACAAGGGCAGCTGTGATTTTCACCAGTCCAGTTTAACTCTGCTTGAAACTAGGGTAAATGCAAATTGTGGCCTTTCTTGTCCACACTAGAGGTTTGTACTGGTGCAAACATAGTAGCAATTGATGAATGAGATGAGGACAAAATCCCAGTGCATACAAGACTTGAGGGCTTTTCATTTTTCTTCTGAAGGGCCAAATTTTGTCCTGAGAGGTTCACATTCAACTCCCGTTGAAGTTGTTTGTTCTGGGTGCCTAAGCCGCTCCTCAGTTTGTCTTGCTGTTTCCTGTGTGTCCTGCGCTTTATTCCAGTTGGCTACCAACTCTAGCTAGGTCAACTTTCTAAAAAACCAGAGTGGTCAGAAAGGTCTGTAGGAAATCTGTGCATTTGGCAATTAGGCTATTGATTAATGTCTCTGCTGTAATAATTCATCACTGCTATCCTCTTCAATGGAAGAAGAATTATCTCTGAGGACGAGGGGGTGGAAAGATCACTAGTTTTACCAATTCCCACTTGTAAATGTTC